TTTGACCTAGAGGATTGGGATAAGTGAAGTGGCCTAGAAGCTCAGCAGTTATGTCAACATAATGAGGCCCCACAGGCACAAACTCATATAAAAGGACATGTTACAACCCTCAGCTCTGTGTACAGAGGCAGCTGCAGGCAATTTAGAGACAGTCTCAAGGAGAATGAGAAGCATGTTTGCATCTCTAGTCAGCAATCATGCAAGTGATTTTTGACATAAAATCTGACATGGTTGCAGAAAACACCCCCCATGATAAGAGTAGGGGGGGGTCACAGTTGGAGGAATTGGGGGATACAAAGCGCATGAGGACTCTAGCAGGCGGCAATTGTTCAGGCTGTCAATCAGGTCATTGAGCAGGGATGATGCAAGCTGCCCCAAAGCAGATCAGGAGCAAGAGGGGCTTGCAGAACTGCTCCCTTTGTGCTTATGATCCACCCTATACTGCCAACTACAAATGTACAGGCACAGCAAGTGGTACTTATCACTCCCTGCCCCTGGTTTGTATATGCACATCTGTGACCTTGTCATTGTAAGGCAGCAGGGAGCCCCTGGATGATCTTGCTGGAACGATTGTCATGGTGACGCAGCTTAGAAGAGGGCAGGAAGTAGGATACACATGCGCAGTACGGCAACACAAAAGGAGGCCCATGCAGACTCAGGAGAGCCAACAATTTCAAAATGGCCCATGCACTCAGAAGAGCAGGCACCAAATATATAAGTGGCTCAGGGCCCTGTACACAACTGTTGTGGTCAGAGGAATAGTTCCAAGCACGCAACAGGCTCCCTTAAAGAGTAATGTCCTCAACCTACTGCATTTGTGGTCCAGATAAGGCACTGCAGCTAAGCTGGAGGTTGCCAGGTAGGATCCATGGGATATGGATCCCATCCAGTGTTTGCCCTGTCTGGTGGGCATACTCTACGTATGCAGGGACAGGGTTCCACCATCACATATACCAAGACCCTGTAAAGTGCTTTGTTGCCAACTCACACAGTACACCAGGTGTCTTGGATAGCACTCACAGCAGAACCCAGTGCTCTAAGGCCAGCCTTGCATCTTCGGCATGGCAAGGACTGAGTACGGCTTCAATGGCGATCAGCTGATCCTCATCATACAGAAAGCGGAAGAAATGAGATCTTTGGCTCTGCAGAAGAGAGGCCCATTTTCTAACTCCAGACACTAGCAAAAAATGAAGCTTGATGGGAGTGAGAGGAGCTATATCTGGCCAACAGCTCAGTTGGTAATGTCCAATATCCTGTAGGCAGCAGTACAGCCATTTTGTCTAAAAATAAATAAGCCCGTGTCCCCAAAAGGGTCAGCAGGACAGGCACGCCAACAAGCATTAGAATAGATCAATAGCAGGCTCCATGTTTTTCTTGCAACAGCTTTCTTTTTGAAAAGGTTAGTTACTTAGGGGACAAAAGAGCAGTGATTGATTTCTTATAGTGTGTTCCCAAGGGTATCAGCTGAAAATGGATGTTATGAGTAGGGAGATCTCTATGAATAAGCCGGTCGGTGAAACATGTTAGAGATGGGAGGAGGCTCTTTACAGCATGTTTTGACTTCAGGAATAAACAGTATCCAGCTTGTGATATCAGTCGTTTGTGCAGCAATTGTTTCTGTGAGAACCAGTATAAAGCTGGAGCGTGCCTTTTTGCCTGCACCGACAAGAGGGATGGGGCTGTGTGACCATAGGACAAGGAATATGAGCGGTGGCTACTTTGTGAGTTTAACTAATCTGTGGTATTGACAGGGTATCAGCTCAAGTTCCACAAGAAAGCCCCTGCCAATGATGGATCATGAAAAGATCCTCAATGCATGAGGGCCAAGCTCAAGTTCACCCTGCAAAACATTAAATACACTGCCACACCAGCTAGGAGTAGGGACTTTGGGGTTAGCTAATTGCATAGTATATCCCCACAAATCAGGGAACTTGGAATTAAACTCCCACATACCTTTAAGCAACTTCTGGAGCACCATGGCGCACTCCAATATGCAATTCTACCACTTGAGACCTGACCCTTTGTGCAACTGCATTTTGGTTTAGCATAAGGGGTATCCTCAATGCACAACAAGTAGTTGTAGGAAGCAGGGCAGCTCTTAGCTTTCCATTCACAATTGCTTACTTGCATATTAGGGCATACCAGGATTTGTTGCTCCTTGGGTACAGAAAGGTATCCTGTCCTTAGGTTGACACTTATTTGGGGGATGGAAAGGGTTATCTTAAGACCAAACCTTTTGGACAGTGGGGGTCAATCTGTGTGAAGTTGGCCATAGAAAGGAAGCGGTCTCCCACAAACAAACAATGGGTGGGGTAGCATGTTTGTTATCCAATGGCTCTACCCATCAGTCTTTTCTGCAACTTGCCTAAAGAATTGGAAGCAGCATATTAAAAAAAAAAAAAAAGGGAAAGTGTTAAAGGAGGGAGGGTCAGCCTTGTCAGACTGTTAATACAGTTCTATTTCTGATGGCAAGTGCCCCATTTTAGCACCCCAGAGTAGCCCTAAATGGCCCAATCCTTGCCCATGTGTTGCATCTAATTTTTTTCTTTTTACACCACCAGAAATAAAAAGAAAGAACAAAATCAAACAATACAGAATGTTTTGCCAAAAATGTACCAGTCAGTTCCAAATTTATTTGGGAAAATATACAGATTGCAAGGGAATTTTAACATAACTTGCAGGCATTTTTCCAAGAAAAACATTTCCAATAGTAAAATGAGTAGAAAATTAAATATTTCCTTCCTGCAATCACAGTGATATCACCATCCTAGACTGGAATTGCACCACAGGGCAATCGCAACCTATGACCTCCATCAGCAAACACGGTACGTGCACCAATAGTCCCTTTCATGTAAAAAGGAAAACATTGTCCCTTCGAATGACAGACAAGTTAAATAAGTGCATTACAACTTTAAAATATCCAGCTGTTTAAGAGTCTTGCGCTGAATCCTTTCCAGCCAACTAAACTTAAAGTTATTCAGATGTAACATCACTTTGAAGTCCCCGACTAACATGTCTGTTCCACTTGGGGAACATAACACGTAAAGAAGCCAAGAACCAGTTTTAGGAGAGTGGTAACCCCATATTCCGCACAGGTCCAGAACATAAATGTGATATTTAAAAGCTAGTTTATTACATGATATAAAAATATATCTTTTCCCCACAGTGTGTGAGGGATGGATGGATGTGTAGTTTAATATTAAAACAAACAGATGAAAGCTGGGTTTTAGTCGCAATGCTGCTGGCCTATAAAAGCAGGATCTATAGCAAAAAGTCTGCCAAAATGTTTCCAATTGCAAAACATATCCATTGAAACAAACCACGTGAATTTTCGGAAAGCACTGCGAGCAGAAAGCCGACCATACATGATGTTCAACCTTTTCATGATACACAATTCCAGAGGTAGTCCTCCATTTTAGTGACAGAAAATGCTAAGGAGTTGCCACTGCCTTTACAGTATGAACATATACAAAATCTTCAATGAATAAAGCTGTACTAGAAGTCATATCTATATTCTTTGAACTGCACCTGCCACATACGCAGCCCATTATGCTACAGGCCACACAAGTAAGATTTGCTGCCCAACTACTCATCAGGGATTAGTAAGGAGGATATCACAAGCTTCTGGAAAATACAAGAACATTTAAAACAGAACCCTAATCAAATGCTACCATTACATTTATGTAAAGGAATGACTAAAATCGGTTAATTCATGAGCAAAAAGGACATAATCCAGTTTACCAATTCATACAAAAGATGGGTGACTGAAATTACAGGACAAAAGTTACCATTATGATAGCAACATCTGGATCCTTTTCCCTTTAAAAAAGTGTAACATTCAATAATTCCTACCTAGATTTTTACATGTAATGTTCTCGTGTATGCTTTGAAATCAGTAAATAGACAGACTGCTCTTGAAGCTGTGATGATAAAAATATGACATGGAACTACAATAGCCAACTTGTTTTTAAAAGGGCGCATGTTCCAGGGCTGTCATCCAAGACCTGTCTATATGCCCATCTAGTGAGCCATAACTCGAACTATGCATACTAGAAGTGCAGACTTTTCGGAGTGCATGCTTGTTCTAGAACGCCAGCTCACTAGGTAGTTGTGTCAGCAAACTTCACCTTTAAAAGCAAGTCAGCAATGCCAGCTCTTGTATATCGGTTCTCACAGCACTTATCAAAGAGCTGGACATGCCAGATGAGGATAACATTCATGTCAAAGCATGCAAGAACATCACATAGGACATATACAAGAAAACATACTTGTATGTACATCAGATAATGGCAACACTGCAGCTGCAAGAATAATGGACATGGGAACCGGCCCGGGGCAGGGGGTTAAGTCTGATGAATGTCTGCTTTGCAAAAGGAGTGAATTTTACTCTAGCCCAGCAATCACAAGTTAATTCCAGTTTAGGGAAAACAGCAATTTTGCCAGCCGAGTGGCTAGTTGACCGTTAAAGACCCCCCCCCCCAAAAAAAAACAACAAACTCCTCCTTCAGGAAGTCATCACAAAATACTGTATGCACTAGTAGCAGGCACTGTCAGTTATGTGCAAATTGGAAATGTATTTGGTATCAGCAATACAAATGGGATGTAACCAGATATATAGGTTACGTTACAAGTGCATTACCAGCTCTGGGATCTCCAAGGTCAAAAGTATATCTGGTTAAAAAGCACTGTTCATCATTTTGACTATATAAAAGTATTTCCAATGTTCACAAACTTCGAGGTGTACCGTGTCCTGCAAACTGGAGGTGCCTATCTCAGTAAAAGAAAAGTGGCTTCAGAGAGCAACCAAAAAATGGTAAGAATACAGAAAGAATGATAAATAGATTTGTGGTTTGAAGTCAATAACAGACCAAAATAAATGCAGATTTAGTGACAGCAGTGGTTTTAAACTTAGATGTCTTGTCCCAATCCTACAAAATATCAAAATTCTTTTAGAAAGAGGGTCTTAAGACTGGTTTATATGCCTGATTTTATTGGTTGTATTTATATATATTTTCTTTTGGTAAAGTAGTCTGGTGTGAATTCCAAAGAGGTCTTTCCCTCAACGTCCATGTTTGTATCCAAAGAGGATGGGGGAGGCCTGGATCCGCTAGAACTCTGTTAGATCACCAACAAAGCCCTTTATTTCAGTTTCAATTCATTTTGTTGGGAGAGGGGAGAGGCAAAAATAACGCAGGTACTAAAAAATAAACTGGCAGGTCGAAGTCAAACACTTTCAGGACTAGGATTTCCTCACTCTGTGCCTTCATTATCTTCAGCAGTGGCTTGTTCTGCATTCTTTGAAGCCTGCAAAAAATACAATTGAACACCATTATGATACATTGCTCAGAACCAGTGATCCTGCTATCAGCAGCTATAGTTCTACCACAAAATAACAAGTCAAACAAGTAGTGTTAGGTTGGCCATAGACAGGACACGTGAAAACAGATACAAGACAACCACTAGTAGGGTTTTTGTTCCCCACAGACTGATATACGCATGCACCTTCAGGTGAAAAGTGATCATGTTTTAAAGCCCATCTCTGAAATAAAATTATAGGATGTCACCCAACCAAATTTTTGTTGGCCATGTTATTCCTATGAATGCCTTAAAAATACTTTATTAATTGGCAGTTCTCCACATGTATGCAAGCCTTATTGTGGCTACCAATACTGCAGAATAGGCTTTTTGTTCTCCCCCCCTTAAATCCTTTTCTTGGTGTCCACTGAGGGATGAAGAAGTCTTAAACCTTTGGGGTTGTACTGTTGCCCATAAGGAGGGGGAGCCTCCCTGATAACTTCTACACTGCTAACCCTTTTAATGCCACAACATGTGGTACACATCAATGACACTGAAAGGGTTAAAGGAACAGTCACCTTTATCTAAATCTGTTGATAACTGACTTCACCAACAACTTACCCATGTAGCACTGCCGCCCACACTGGTGTTCACAGCCTGTCTAATTAAAAATTACCATCAGCCTTACTTGTGAACCATGTATTCATATGATTGAAAGGGCCTTAGATCTCAATATATCCCATTTATCCCTAAAATTAATTTTGTCAGACAGGATGTAAACACCAGAGGAAGTCACAGAAGTGAGCATCCAGATGGAGTGGAGTAAGTGCAGTTTATTGTATTGGGGATAGGGACGGTGGCTGGGAGGATTTTTCACAAAATGTGGATTATTTGTAGGGCCTACAATCCAGATAATTCACTACATTGTGAAGTTAAGGCAAAGTAAGTAAACCTTAAAATACAGCGGAAAATAAAATTCTTCATTAGCCCAAACATTTAGAATTAAAGACTAAAGATTCGGATTCCTACATAAGCCAAATTATGTCCAAATATCAATCATAAAAGAACCCTAGTTATAACTGTGAACATTATTCCAAACACATTAACGAGAACTGTTGAGGAAGCATTACCTTCTTTTTCTTCTTTTTCTGGGTCTTTCGGCTAGCTGAACTTTGCAGAAGTGCCTAAAAAAAAAAAAGTAAATAAAAACAGTTTACTGATTTGTTCGGACAGTTCATTCTCTGCAGGTGGTGCCTTGTTTTTCCCCAAGCAGTATCTCAACACTGAAAACTGATCTGGTAATTAAGCGGGTGAAACATGGCAGTCCTGAAGTGGTTAAATCTTTTAAGTAAAAAGTCCACACAAACCAATGTCCACTTACCTTCAACTCCGTATCCTGCACCTCAAACTCAGACTTGTACCAATCTGGCTCAAAGGGACCACTTGTTATTCTCATGGGGCCATTAGGCATCAACAGAACTGTAAACTTAAACTGTGCAACGTGTTCACCTGAGAAAAGCGATGTGAAACTAATTAGCTCAATGTACAAACAGAAAAAAAAAGTTCCAAATCAACCAAGCGGTGAAAAGATTTTATAGCATGAACATTTCTAGAAACCAAAATTAAAATGTCTGCTCTTTTAAATAGGAGTCAAGCAAAAAGCAGGAAAAGATCTACGGTATGAACTATGACAACAGGACGTTAAAACAGTCACATTGTTTTCCCTGATGAAGGAACCACATTGAGTTCCGAAAAGTTGCTATATTCTGTGACACCATGCTTATCTGAATGTCAAAAGGCCGGATCAATAACGTGTACCTTTATGTGCTGGGGACATTGCTGCTTTCTCTGGTTTTGCTGCACAATGCGCTGGCCACTTCAGCGCCCACTGTTATTACACATGGCGAGATGTCAGTCTGGGGTGCAATGGGATATCACAAACAACTAGACCACAGGCCTAGGCTCAGGCAACCCATAAAAAGCAGCTATTCTTTGTTCTCTTAAGGTGCCCATACACCTTACAATTATCTGCAGATTTTCTGTGGTCAGATGGAAAAAGTGCAACAGATTGGCCCAGGTGGAGATGACTCCATCCACACAGTTAAGTGTAGATGGAGGAATCTGTTGCACCTTTTCCATCTGACCACAGAAAATCTGCAGATAATTGTAAGGTGTATGGCCAGCTTTAAGCGGTAAGCCAGCAATACACCAGATAATTTAGTTTAAAAAAATAATTGTTTTTGGACAGTTCGAGATATATATATATATATATAAATAAATTTTCTTTCCGAAAAGAAAATTGACAGTGAATGTGGTTTTTGTTCAAGAAAATTCCATTTCAAATTCAAAAGGGAAAAACATTGTATAGGCCAGACTAAGAGGCTGATTTACAGGCATTGTGCATCTACATTAACTTGAGGGCTGCAACCAACTAATCGATTAATCTATAATGAGAATAGTTTTCAACTATTTTCATTATAGATTAGTTGGATCCCCTAGCTCTCTCCTCCATGCTGGGAGGGCACAGCATTCAGTGGGGGGTGCAGTAGCCAGCCTGCTATTGCAATTTGAAATGGCCAATAGCAGGCTTGCTATTGCACCAGTCCACTACCTGCTGTATTTACATTCAGCTGCCATCTGTGAAATCCTGCCACTGGTAGCTGTCTATCCATGGCTGAAGCTATTCAAGTGCCATGTGCTTACAGTACAATTATTAAAATAAATGATAATGAAAATAATTAGTGCAGACCTAATTAACCTTTGTACTTTAGGATGTTGCTCGCATGCAAAACACAGCTAACGTATTAGGAAGGCATAGTAAAACATAACACATGAAATGCAGTTTGCAATCTCACCTTCCTTTTCATAGAGTACATTGAAAGGTTGGAGCAATTCATGCTTTGCACATTCCACCACACCCATTCTTGCCTTCTTTTCATCTTCAAACGCCCTGGAAGACAAGAATGATAAAACCTAGGAATACACACACCCCTTGGTGGAATCCGGCATAATAAAACCATGTTTAATAGACTGACAGCTGCATCCAGCACATTGCTTATAGAATGGGCGCAGCTTCATTCATTTGGACATGTTTTTCATTTAAAGCTTAACATTTCAAGCAGCAGAGTATACAATACCTAAGAGTGAATGGCATGGCACCAAAACGTCTCTCAACTTCACTGAAAAAGGCACGAGAGGTTTTCATCTTCAGTCCGTACTGCTTAGTTGGATCCCTTTTGTAAATTGTTGTCCTCTGCCCAGCATCCTTCGCCTAATTTAATGATCAAAAATTATACATTAGTAATAAGGTCACACTAATTTGCATGCTTATTTTTTAAATTAAAAAATAACTGACAAAAAAAATCCCATAAAGAGTACAGACTTACACCAGCACATAGTTACAAAATCATCAAAGACAGAGTAAAGATCATCAATAAATAAAAATCGTACGCAAGTGAGCCTAGGATTATTTGTACCGAACGGGAAGTGATAAAGGTAGCTACTTGCATGTGGAACTAGAAATACAGAACTAAACAGCGGGAATACACAATCCCATGTCCATGAGATTATGCCCCGAAAAGCCTGACAACCAAATTAGTCAGCATACACTATAAACTAAAGCAATGTATAAAGTAATACAATTTATATAATTAGGTGTCAAGTGTGTAGGGCTGTCAGAGCTGGCCGAAAACCTGTTCTTAGATAACAGTTCTGAGATGTACAGGTGAAACTCAAAAAATTAGAATATTGTGCAAAAGTTAATTTATTTCACTAATGCAACTTAAAAGGTGAAATATATGAGATAGACTCATTGCATGCAAAGCAAGACAGTTCAAGCCGTGATTTGTCATAATTGTGATGATTATGGCTTACAGCTCATGAAAACCCAGATCCACAATCTCAGAAATTTTTTGGCAGTGTGGGCAGGTGCCAAGTCCTGCTGGAAAATGAAGTCAGCATCCCCATAGAGCTCGTCTGCGGAAGAAAAGATGAAGTGCTCCAAAATCTCCTGGTAGACGGCTAAGTTGCATTAGTGAAATAAATGAACTTTTGCACGATATTCTAATTTTTCGAGTTTCACCTGTATATATACACACATATGAGCCTTGTGGCCACGTGCCTGCATTAATCTTCAAATCTACCCTGTGGTAGCCCTTGAATTATAGGCTCAGGCTGTACATGGGGCTTTGACTTCTGCTCAAGTAGATCTATAGCTCATCACTTGCAAACATTAAAGCCTTGTCCCCGTCAGTCAACAACCAAATGTCAGAACTTCAATGATCATTACAGGCTCTGAAGTTTGACAGTAAAATGTTTTGGCCCCATGTACCACCTGAGTCTAGGATAAAAGATGCCTGCACTTATAAAAAGTTCAAAGTCAGGGTCAGGTCTAAAAACATACCATTCTACCCAACTCACCTTTCCTTCCCCAGTGCTAATAAGAACATCAATAGCATAAACTTCATGAACTTCAAACTCTGCTTTTTCATGGTCCTTCCTGCAATTGCAAAAACATTAAATAAAACCATCTGACAAGTTGCCTACCAATATAAAAATCAAAAGAACACTTCCAAATATATAATTTAAAGTGTCTGTTAGAGCAGCTTTATTAAACCTTTCATTTTTTTTTTTTAACCACAACATTAATACTAACATTAATAAGGGCACCCTTGTCTGAAACACTTCTAGAAATGTGCATTTGTAGCACAGCACTGAATGTTTTTAAATAAATCACCAATACTTACTAGGCTGGTGTCACACTTGCAATCCTATTACTAGCCATAGGTTAACAGCAACCGGATCGCTAGAATATGCAGGGAGAACACTCACCTGCTTAGTATGTAAAATTCATGCAAAAGGGTTTAAAATAAATGCCAGGGCAGCACAATCCACAGCAGGCAAATATAAGTATATTCAAATGTCATACATTTTACAAATAAAGCATGCACCAAATATAACTGAACTCCTAACGTACTTTTGCTGGTCAGTAGGGTTTTGGATAATAGTCTTCTCTCCATCAATAACATGCTGTTTTAACTGATGAGAAAGCATCCCTAGAGTAAAATACACAACATCAGTTACACAGAATATAGAAGCAAATTCATAATGTGAAAAAAATGTTAAAACGGAACATCTAAGCCTATATACTATAGAGGGGTGTAACTTTCATATTTACAACCCCCCCCCCCCTCCATGTGATGTTCCACTCTGAAATAGCCAATAGATATAAAAAAGACATTTGTTGTCCCATTGCAAACTAGCTGACCGGTTAGGTTTGGTATTAACATTATACCACCTTGGTCGTGAATTCCATCACATAGTGCACTAGGTTCACCAGGAGCACCTACATCTCTCCTCTGATTAATATCAGAATTTAAGGATAATACCCCCGAGACTCCCAGAAATCTTAAGTCTGGGGCAGCAAAAGATGTGTAGTAACATACCTCTGTGGTTATTGCATCTCCAGTACAATGGAGAGAGATTTGGGTAGATTTTATGTAGGAAATCTGGTTTGTTTGTTTTTTTTACCACCTAGGCAGTATTTTAAATCCGGATTCTTGGTATGTGTAAGAGATGAAAATGGTGGGGGCTAGTAACTGGATGCAATTTGCTTAAGGATGAAGAGGATGTGGGCTCCCATTTCTTAAAGTGTAGTTCAACTTTTGCAGCCAAATTAGGAGAACAACTACTTGATATTTGTTATATGTTCCTATTCACATTGCTTAACTTAAAGTGGAAGCAGCAATTTTTAGTTTCTTTTTTTCTAAGTGTGGTTTACTTGCTTAAATATCCTACCTAGCTTTCCCTATGGAGGGGAGGCTAATGTTAAGTCTAAACCTAATCTGTACTGTGCTGGCAGATTTCATTATTATAAACTAGATTTGAACACTGTCTGTGCAAACAAAGGGTTGAAGTCTTCTAGGCATTTTGTGCTAATGAGAGGAAGTTCAGTCTGACACTACAGTTTCACTCTCAAAATGCTCAGAGTAGCTTGGAATCTGCACAAAGGCCTTCACCAAAAAGACATCTAAAAGGGTAAGGAAAACATTTTTTTAATAGGAAATCAGAGCAAACAGTGGGGTTTTCTCAAATCTGACTGCAAAAGTTGAACTACACTTTAAAGGTAAAAAGGGCAGATGAGTAGATTCCTGGTCTATTAGAAACAAGTGCAGGAGTGACAAAGCGTCGAACGAGGCATGGGTCTATACACAATTGTTCAAAAGGTGTGAGGGGCAACAACACTCTTCCTAAGCGGAAAGATTTCAGGCAGTTACTAAAATCGGGCAACTCTTGGAATCATGATCCTGATGAAACCCTGTGGAGTTCTGAATTTGTAAAACGCTCCAACAGCAAGTGTAAGCTTCTATACATGCCTTTTTGCATAAGCATTTAAAATGGGGATCTTGTAGGCTTGGCTGACATGCTATTAAAACCAGTCTGAGCAGATGGAAAGGCATCTTAAAGCACTGGAAGATAAGGTGGGACACTTTTAGGGTGAGTGTGTGAGCTTTAACTTGGGATGCGAACAGGGGTGGCAGACGTGGGAGACAATCCAATGAAATGGCACAGGGCAGGGGTGTGTGGCTCAAAGTGTAACAAGGGTTTCAGGTTCAGGGCTCATGCAAGACAAACAGTAATGATACCAGAGAGGACTTGGGTAGCCAAATCCATCCTTGTGTTTGTGGAGAGTCGGAGGACTGAACTGTTAAGTCTGGATTTTTCCCCTTCCCCAGAAATCAATAAGATAACTTGCATTACTTACCTTCAATTGGATTACAGTTAAAAGAAGGAGCAATCTTGTTCCACGCTTCAGTTACTTGTGTGTTCTAAAAAAAATATATATTTTGTCAATTATCTGGCATTTTGCATAAAAGTAACACTTTAGTCTCTAGAAATCTATATAGTAGACAGGACTTTAATCAGTCATTGAAGCAAAAGCTTCCACTGCCTAACTGAACACCATCAAACTCCTTGGAATGTATAGCCAGCCTTATTTCACATTGTTACCTTGACACCCTTATCTAAGCACTGAAAGCAGAAAATCACCCTGAGCTCCAAGATTCCTCCCACCCCCAGGTCCCTTGAACAGAGAGGCGCCAAGACTCTCCTGGACAGACAATTGGGAAGATCTAGACACTAAAACTGTTTTTCCCAACAGCCAGAACGTTGAGCTGCAGCAGCCTGAAATGTAACTGAGCATAGGAAATGCCGAAAAGGAGGCTACCATCAGGACTAGAACCTTCATGCAAAAGCAAATGCTAGGGCGAGTCCTGAACCATGAGAACTAGGTATGGAAGCAGAGATAGGAGCTTCTCCGAAGGAAAGAAACCCTGAATAGGGTCATGTCCAAGACCAGACCCAGGTACTCGGTGATAACAAGGGTCTGGAGTTTGACGTCTGGAGGTTCAGAGACCATCTCAAGCACTGCAGGGTTTGCATCATGCTCTTAATGTTGGACGATAGAACTTGTCCCGACTTCTCTATGAGAAGGTTGTCCAAGTACCCTACTATTAGGATCCTGAGACCAAAAATAGGTCCAAGACAGGGGCTAGCACCTTGGCGAAAACTTGGGGTGCAGTGCACAGGCCAAAAGAAGATTAAAAATTGGAAACGCTGCGCGTCCACAGCAAATCCCAGGCAGTGATGGTGTTCATGAAAAATTGGGATGTGTAAACATGCATCCTTGATATCCACTGAGGCCAGGAAATTTCCCAGGTGAAGGGAGGCAATAACAGAACAGACTCCATACAGGACTTTTGAATCCCATTGAGAATCTTCAGTTATTTAATTTGCTCACTCAGTCAGCCCTTTGTATGTATCCTCTAAATATCCGTTCATATGGTTTATTATTTGGTTTCCTTTTTTATTTAGTTTGCCGTTTTCCTGACATTTATAGTCCAGAGGTTTTACTTTGCCCCCAATTAAATATAAGCAAAAAAGGGAAAAGCTAAAAAAGGAGAGCTACCAAAATTAAGCACCTAACAGTTGCATTGCATGGAAGCATGTAACAATAAAAGTGAATTTTGAACTTCTCCCATAGGAGGGCTTTGTTGAGACATCTTAACCGTTCCCTTTTATACATGTACAAACCAGAGAAACTTCACACCTGATTTCCTGGCTTTACCAGGCGGAGAGCAGCTTCTGCACAAAGGTGAGCGGCTTTAACAACATCTGCTTTACGACCAGTAACTGTAGACTCCTGAAACAGGGTAGGGAGGAAAAAACAAAAAGTCAGTTAACATTTTAGGCCTCAAGATTATTATGTACACCCCGCAGAATGATAAATATGCTGGAGGCAGAGATCCTGTAGAATAAAAATATTAGAACTGTTTTGAAACCCAAATTTTCTATAAAAATGCTTAGAGAACTATGGGGTCAGGGCTTTTCCCCATAGTTCTCCTAAGGGTCACGAGAGAACACAAACTAGCGTCCTCCCATGATCCTAAGCGCAGTATACCGCGAGCTACGGATTGCGGTATACTGAGACGCCGCAGCCGGGACGGATCCCAACAATACGGTCTGGATCCACCCAGCTGCGGGATTGACAGCTGACTCTGCCTATCTATAGGCAGTGCTCCAGTCAGCGCTGGATGATGGCGGAGGGGCGCAATACCTGACAGTCAATGCTCTCTGCAGGGACATGATCGAGAAGTGAACGAGTGACTGTTTGCTCACTTCCCGATCTATTGAGCCGACCTGTGACAATTTCATTGTCACAGGTCGGCTCAGATTATGAGGCCGAGTGAAAATCACTCGCCTCATAATTCTCCTTTAATCTTAGTGCACAGAAAACACAATAAATTCCCTATTTTGTGTAAAGTATAAAAGATGAGGTTGCTCTAAAAATAGTAGTAAAAAGATACCAAAGATGTCAAGCTTCAAAATTGGGTGCACCCATGAAAAGGCAAAAAACTACACTACCCAAAACTGTCTATAAGAGATCCTTTAAAAGCTTTTACAGGTCATCAGATTAAAGTTAACCATGAATAATGACCCGAGAATTATTGCTCTCTGAAATGCACAGTGATACCACACATGTGTGGCGCACCAGACATGCGATTGTTAGTATGTGCGTGTAATTATATACAAACTTTTTTTTTTTTTTAAGTATAACTATATTGCTATCCTATAGGGGGCTCACAACGTGCTCTATGCTACAGCAATTTAGTGCCGACAGGTTCTCTTTAATAAGACATTAGGGTCTGATACCCTTAATGTCACCATTGCACTTTAACAGATGTTTTCTGGTATCCCTCCCCTCTTTCAGCTGACAATGGCTTTGCATACATGGTGGGGAAGGGAGCACATTTGGTAGCCCTTGGAAGTGTAAAACCAATATTCAGCTTTACACACACACAACTCTAGCTTACAGGGCCCCCGCAGCCACAGACATAAGGTAAAACATAAGCTTGAGTGTGTGCTTTAGGGACATCATTTTCATTTGTGCCTTACTATTTAGTCACTGACATGGAAAAGGCATGTGTGTACCAGGTGTCCCACACATCCGTGTTGCAGGTCAGTGACTCGGGTATTGAAGGATAAGAATGGCAGATCAGGAGCATATACCTTTAATATTAAGGCAGCAATAGCAGCTCTTAACATTTTCTGGTGTGGTTCGAAGTGGCCTAGCATTCACCACACTGCTGTAGAAGTCAGGAGTGGGAAACGCTGGGCTCTAACCCCCCCTAAATTGACAGCTAGGGTCAATAAATGTTTATTTTTTTTACTAAACACTAAACCAAGGGTTGACAGAGTCCAGGGTGCTAGGACTCTATGCTAAAACTGAGGCTTTTGTTTGCTAGCAGGAGGTATAGCCCCAGGAGGGAGAAGCAACTTATTTAATATCGATCCCCCCAAAAGGGTAGAACTTATCTGAAATGTGCTGTGTGAGAAAGAGAAATCAACTTCACACGCTGGATTTGCAATTTATATCTATGTAAGCTTTAAATATATACAAGACAGTTCAAAATATATATTACCTGTATATTACCCATGTGAAAGGGTTAGTACTTTTGTTGCGGTTTGTGAATCCAAACAGGATGTACCCTAACAAGTTAGCTTGCTCTCTTGATCTGGTCACTTTTATAACCGATATTTGCCTGAGATTTACCTCCCAGACAATCCACACTATGTGCAGTTTGGTGCCATACACACTAGCTTTAAAGTCTACCCCTTTCCCCACTGTGGACCAAAAATATTGGTTGTATACAGGCTTTTCATTCATTAATTATAATCAATTAATTCTGGACTGTGCATGCACAGGAGAGGCTAGGAAGATTTTGTAGTGTATATTGAGCTGGGTAGGCCGCACAGTGCAGATGGCCTAAAAGCCGCGTTTCATGTAAGAGAACATTACTTAAGATTGTGTAAAACTGCAGAGGATATCTATACCTACTTACTATACAAATACAGACAGCTGATTAAATAAACACAATGAACATGAGCAAGGATTTCAGTTACAAATAGGAGATCTAGTATTATTCCACCAAGGACACATTTCCACTAATGACAAATGTGCATTTACCTTCTGTTTTGTTACCTTTGACCCAATTGTCCAATTCAAAAATACTGCTGCTTAATTACATTTAATGGATTTTAAAAAGGTAAAACTCAATGTTACATTGTGTGTTCGGACATGCATAACAGTTCAATTGCTTTGCAGAATTATCAGAGCCAAAAATAACCTTACCTTGGAGGCACCAACGACAAAGCTGTGGGCAACATTAGCAATGAAGCCATCTACATGAACTCCCAAGTCACTGAAACACAAAGTTGGCTATTATTACAATCATTTAATGGTAGATGCGGTTGCTGCTTGTTCATTATTAAAAAGGTGTCGTATAGTGTACCTTTAGTCCATATTACTTTTTATAAACTGGCAATTCCATACACCTCTAGGTGCCTGCAGGTAATGTCAGCTACTCTTCAAAGGACACGAAAGCCCTCAACTCAGGATATACAAATATTGACATATTGATGGACAGTGCCAGATTATTAAGGCTACTACAGATTTACTTTGCATCAGACAAAAACTACATATAAAGCAGATGAATAGACTGTATTTTAAGTTATTTCAACCACCTGCTGTACATAAAACGGCCAGATGGGCGTCTTCTAGATGCAGGTGGGCAATTTAAAACATCCTTCGTGCCTGCACACGAGTGATGGGTGTTTTACATACAAGCGGTCCAGCATCTGTAGAGCTGCCAGATCGCCTGTATGTCGTGCCTGCATGCGCCTGCTTCATAGTCATACTTCTACACATTGTTCTACAAAAGTGGTAATTCCTTACATCTTCACTAGATCACCATTCTTCAGTAGGTAATCTTGGTCACTCTTCAGAGGGGAGAAGTGGCACACACAGTTATTAACCGATATACTGGTTGGAAAGGCAATGCCTGCAATAAAAAACACACAAGTTACTCCATAAATCTAGATTGAAAGGCATCACACATTGCACTGGTTTACACTCTAATCCAATAAGCTTGTGTACCTTTTTTCATTTCCTTCTCCTTTTTGAAAATTTTGCCAGTTTCCTCCATTATCATAGCATCCCCCTTTTCACAGAGACTTAGGATGGAAGCCTCTGGGGTAGCTGCCTCCACAAGTGTACGCAGAACCCCTGAAACAGAGATTCACAAGGTTAATCAGCTGCCAAGCCTTCATTTTCAAGGACTACAATGTTCTGGAAATAGTGGGCTGAGCACATTCATTGAGTATTTTGCCACCTTGTGTGGGTGATTACTGCTTTGGTAGAATAATAAAGCTGTGCATGCAATTTCAGGACAATAGATTCATCATAATTAACTCCTTGTAGTTTCACTTGTCAAGCCAGCAATAAGAAAACCTATTCAAAGTTGATAAAGTGAAGGCGAATTGGTGAAAAGGATCCATATAAAATGACAGACATCTTGGCTCCTACACTACCCTGCTGCGTTACCTATTCAAACATGTAGGCCCAATGAGCCTTCCCTATCCAACGGCAAACTTCTACTTCAAAACAACAATTCTTATTAAGGCCGTGACACACTGCACGTGAAGCTGTGCAGAGCGAAGCAAAGCTCTCCGGCACGGAGCTTCGGGTGCAGTGTGTGAGCTGAGTGCAGTCAGAAGATTGACTGCACCTTCAGCCAATCGGCTCGTCTGTAACAACCGGCCAGACGTCGCATCCCGTCGCGCCGGTTTATACGCGCGAGCCGATTGGCTGAAGTTGAAATTGTTCATCTCGGCACGCTCAGCTCTGCGAGCTCTCGCAAGCTGAGGTGCCGAGAAGAAAGTGACATGACACACTGCTCGCAAAGGCAGCGCGCCACCGCTCCGCGCTGCTTCGCGTGCAGTGTGTCACGGCCTTTACCCTTCCAGAGGCACAGGATAGAAAGTTAGTGATAGAAGAGTGCGCTGCTTCCAAAGTAAAGACCCGGTGAAGGGCAAGAAGTGTTACAACTGTGTCTCTGCATCTTTGACTTTGGAAACTTTTACCTTTACCTAGTAATCATTGTGTTGCTTTTAATAATCATTTCAGTGCATAGCCAATGGCAAAGGAAAACTATGACTGTCAATGTGCATCAAACATAACATGGAATGTTTGTGTTTGAACACTCAACCCACCAATAATGGTCTGTCAACAACTAAACAGCAAATTCCATGAGTGACTGATACAAAAGCTCGTTAAAGTGCCAGCCAATACTTTTTCCTAAGTTTTGGATAAAGAAAGGAAGAGTTAAAACCCTTTTTTAGGATTTTACTGCTACCCATGGCTTTATTAGGCAGATTTACCCTCACTTCCTGTCCTGCTGACATTTTACCAGACTGGAAGTGAGGGGAATGGCAACAGAAATAAAACACTCTTCTTTAATGCCTATTTACACCAAAATCGCAAGTCAACCAAGGGTCAGTTGACTTGCAATCACACCTTCCGATTTCCTTCAGATCCGTTGTGTTGCAATCCATTTTTCAAGGGATGCTACCGGAAGGGCACAGAAATATAATTGGGTGTGAATGGGATTAGTTCACACTGCTCCATTACGTTGCGCTGGAAAAATGTAGAAAATGCACTACTTTTTTTCAGCGCATTGTAACGCAACAGATCCGGTGTGAACTAGTCCCGTTCACATCTAATCATTTTGCGGTGCCCTTCCATTAGCATCTGTTGAAAAATTCAACACAACAGATCGGAAGGTAAAATTGGAAGTCAATGGATCTTCTAATGAAATCGGAATTTCCTTCCGATTTTGGTGTGGATACACCCCAGGACAGAGTTCATCCCTTGCCACTAAATCCAAAACTAGGAAGAGGTTTTCGGCTTGACATATACTTTAAGTGTTTCTAGAAAAGATATTTAAACTGTCTTAATGCGACATACTTTGTTAAAAAAAAAAAACCCATACATACATGAACTAAAATAGATTTCTGTTCAATGCATGAGTTAGTTACTTCATGTACAATTTTACATTGTGCTGATGCACACATCAGTTATTTGGACAATAAAGAGCTGAACGGTAGAAGTGTTGGTTTGCCTTCTATGATAAGCCACCACACCCCAATTATCAAGCACCTACACCAACAGCTGAAAGGGGTGTTCCCTCTGAAGAAGCCCCTGAGTGGGGAGGAAACGCGTCAGGGTTATGTGTGCCATTCAACTTCCCTGGACACTCAAAGCTCATCCCGCACATCAGCCGCGGCAGTATCACTGTTAGCTTGGGCTTTGACGGTGCGGAGACGGAGCCCAGTCGGCTGGGATTTGATTAAAGTCCAGCCTGCATTGGAATCCCCAACTCATCCAGCAGAGTCTGAGTGAAACGACCGGACGACAGCTTGCTGTATTCTGCACAATCATCGTACTGGGAACCGTCTACCTTTGAGACCCCTGCATATACCTTTTTGCTTTATTGTGCGGCCGCACACATCTACACGGAAATGCTTTTGGGTTAGCTCTCAAATTTGAAATTCGAGCCCGAGGGCTAGTGAGAGCCCCAAGCAAGGCAAGGGCACTTGCATCTCTAGCCCTGCCTATCTATCCCCATCTCCGGATCCCAATTACAATTACCTATTGAAGCAAACACATCATCCAGCATTGTGGAACTCGAGCAGGACTGTCTCTCCCTGAGCAACATGAGTTGTGAGTAACCCGGGATACATTGTACCCATACATGAGATATTTATATAGTAGGTGGCAACTCTCTATTACCACATTAGCTGGAGTGCAGACCACCCATGATTCTTATATTATTGTTACCCTAGGGAAGTTTTTTAACTGTTTTTAAATGTCTTGTTGTGGATGTAGTGTTTACATTTTCTATGATTAAATATTCAAACTGTTAAATTACATACTTTCTACCTGTTTACTGAACCAGCTCCGAGTAAGGGATTTCTATTCTTTTGGGGACACCTTATATCTTAATACAGATTTACCTTCAATCTGAAAATGTCCTCCTCCACGCCACCCACCGACCCACAGGGATCCAGGTGAGACTGCACAGCCACATGAGAACCGCAGAGCCCCGCATACAGCCCGCACAGCCACCATTACCCCCACAGAGCCCAGCATACAGCCACCATTACCCCCACAGAGCCAAGCATACAGCCACCATTACCCCCACAGAGCCAAGCATAGAGCCTGCATAGCCACCATTAACCCCACAGAGACAAGCATACAGTCTGCATAGCCACCATTATTATTACATAGTATTTATATAGCGCCAACAGTTTGCGCAGCGCTTTACAATATAAGGAAGACATTACAGTTACAATACAATTCAAGACAAGATGGTAAGGAGGGCCCTGCCCACACAGCCACCATTAACCCCACACAGACAACAGAGCCACACAGCCCACCATTAACCCCACACAGCCCAGCACAAGCCCACACAGAGCACCATTAACCCTGCACAGCCACCTTAGAGTCACATATCCCCCATTGAACCTGTGCAGCCACTTGAGAGCTCACACAGCACACCATAGACCCCGCACAGCCAACTAATCATCCAAGACGGCCACCATAGAACCTGCACAGCACACCTGAGGGTCCGCACAGTCCACCCTGGAACCTACAAAGCCACCCGAGATCCTCCGCTGGAGACATCAGGCCGGCACCCCAGGGCAGCACAAAGTCTGTAGCTTCATATTATTCTGCATTGATGTATAATGCATTGCTGGGATTTGTAGTCTTCTATAGCCGGTTGCCATTCGGCATTGCTGTATAATGTATTGCTGGGATTTGTAGTTCTCTCTAGCTGATGGTATTATTCTGCATTGCTGGGATTTGTAGTCCCGCTAAAGTTTGGAGTCAGTGGCAGAACTATCAGGGCCGCAGCATTTGCAGCTGGGACCGGGTCCTGGCACTTCACCACTGTCCTAAAATCATTTAGTCTGTACGGTTTCAGAAAAAAGTCATGGCACGAAAAAAAAAATAATGTTTTTTTGCGGGAAAAGTATCGGTACTTGTACTCTGTGGAAAAAATGGAATCGTAGCATACCTATATGACAATCTTATCAAATCAATTTGAAATGCATCACTCAGTTCAATAATTAATAGAGAACTGTTGGGTAACTTATTTTCCCCATAGTTCTCTTTAGGGTAACAGGAAAACATATACTAACCTCCTCCCTTGACCCAAAACACTGTATATGGCAGGCTATTGCCCGCTATATGCCGAGAGCACCACAGCCGGGACGGATTCCTACAATACTGTAGAGATCCACCCCGCTGATGGACAGCATGCTCTGCCTATCTACAGGCAGAGCCAGCTATGCCCACCCCCCTTCCCTCCAGTCAGCGCTGGAGGATCAGAGAGGGAAAACCCTGCAGGGAGCGGAGATTGAGGGCCCTGTCACACCGTATCCAGTGCGTTACAGCGTGGGTCAAGCCCGGGAACGCACTGGACCACATTGATTAAGGTGGGACACGTTCTGGGCGGGAGGGGGCGTGGCAGACCCATTCATGTCAATGGCACCGCAGACACAACCCATGCCTGCACTGGAACGCAAGGTACATGAATGCCCTCCGTTCCGGTGCGATCGTAAAAAATGCTACATGCACTTTTTTCCGATCGCACGACACCGAAAGGAGGGCATTCATGTACCTCATTCCGATGCAGGCAATTGTGGGGGGGAGTGTATGCGGTGCCATTGACATGAATGGCACTGGCACGCTCCCTCCTGGCCCAAAACACGGCCTGTGCCTTCTGGGAAAGAACCGCGCCAGAACGCACTGGTATATCATATGAGAGGGCCCTGACAGTCACCGCTTTCTGCATGGAGATGATCGGGAAGTTAGGAAGTGACAGTATGTTTTCACTTCCCGATCAATAGAGCAGACGTGTGCCAGTTTCAATGTCACAGATCAGCTCCAACAATGGGGATGAGTGTAATTCAGAGAGCTGAAAAGTATTACAGTTGGTTTGACTTCTATGATAAACCACCCAATTAAACTGACTAAGTGCGATCACAGCACTCTGCCACGCCAACTCGGCGAGCACAGAACTCACATTGCAGAGGAAGGTGGGCACTAAAGCTTTAAGACTGGCAATGCTAGGCAAAACTGGTCACCTATAAATACAAATAACTCAGCCCCATTAACCATCAGAATCTGTCCCATTCTCATCAACACCTCCCTGCACCTTGCCTACATTCCTAGTTAGGCTGTAGATTATAGTGATGGACCAACAGAAATGTTGGAAGACAGGACTTAGTAGCATGTTTGGAATGCTGATGCAAGTATGTAAGGCAGCTCTAGTACCTGCAACAGTGCTTATTTTAAAGTTCTTTCTTCTGGACTACAGACTGCCACCCCTAATTTTCATAACATATGGGCTGGTGTACTGTAGTCCAGAAGGGAGAATCCAGGCAGACCTGATCAGACTGAATTCCATATTAATTTTCTAACCCTTGAGTTAGAGTGCCCGCAAATATATTAGATGCCTTGAACTTCCAGTGTGCATGCAGACATTCAATGGAAAGGTAAGAGAGAATCAGGCATATACTGACACTTAACTCAGGGCAAACAGTCATCAAAACTTACACCCCTACCTTTCTGGATGCAGCCCACCTGGTCCAACACATACCTCTGCCACTGTTCCATTGATATTAAATGTGCAGTCCTACCCAGCCTTTCCTCTGAAAACATTCCCACCTGGCCCCCTCATCCTGCACATGCGCCACAGCCCTATATGTCCATATGGCGAGAGCCAAACTGTGCAGACCTGGTGGAGGTCGTTATAAGTACGACTCCCCATAGAAATAAAATGAGGTCGTCATGGCCAGTATGAGGGGAGTGCTTTTCACTCACCTCATAGTTCTAGCCGACATGTGACAATGAGACTGTCACAGGTTGGGTCAGTAGATCGGGAGGCGAGCGAAAACATACCGGCGTTCGCTCACTTCTCAATCCTGTCACAGCTCTCTGCCGTGGCAGTGGCTGGATTCCCCCCTCCTCCAGCGCTGACTCTTAAATACTCTTCTCTGAAAACAATCCTCATTCTCCCTTTCTATGCAAAATTTATAATGGAAGTCAAGTGCGTGCCATAGTTAACCCTGTCTGTGCTGTGAGATTTCATAATTAGTTAAAGTGACATTCTAGGATAATTTTTTTCCCTCCCCCAATGTTAATTAAAGCACTTACCTTAAATGATGATTCTTAATTCGATCTTCTTTCCTGCCGTTTTCAGCCTTCTCTCCAGCGCTGCGGCGGGTGTCCGATCCAGCGCTGACTCCTGTTCTTGCTGGCACTTCCTGTCCCACGGTGTCTGCATGCAGGTGCACACATCCATAGACTTACCTTGTGTATCTCCTCGCGCCCCGGCCAAAAATGTGAACGGCACATGCGCCTGCCCCAAGATACTTTGCGGCCGCCCGAGCAGTTTCGGATTCTCGGACAGGAGAGCGTGGCGAAAACACGGGTAAGTTTAAACTGCTTTTAAAGAGTTTTAGTTTTTTTTTACTTTTTGCATATATCTACTGCTTGCTAGCAGTAAAAAACAAAAACGGAGGGTTTAGAAACCATTTAACTAGATGTACAGGACTGTCTTTGCCAACAAGGATTAAGGATCTTGAGAAATTAAGAAAAAGTTATCAAAACTGGAGCAGTTGTCCATAACACCTAATCAGCTTCTCTTCTCTCTCTCTTGGAAGCTGATTGGTTATGATGGACAACTGCTCCAGATTCTGTCTGCTCCAGTTTTACTAACCCCCCCCCCCCAATTGTATTTTATTGCACTGTCTCTGAATCTTGTCCCTCCAGTCTGTCCTTTATCTACATTACATGTCAAAGCAGTAGAATGTGTTCATACAGCCCTATATGTATTCCTCCGCCAAAGAAACTAGAGTATAGCAATTTGTATTAATGGGAACATAAACATAGTTGTAGTTTCTCAAATGTAACTGCAAAGATGGAAATATACTTTAAGGGCTTGTTCACAACAAAAGCCTGTGCGTTCCAGAGCGGTAGCTGCTGGAACGCACCACAATCGCTGTGAAACTCCCCCCCCCCCCCAGCGTTTTGGGGCGGGAGGGGGCGTGGTGGTGCATTGTATTCAAAATAGGACGAGCCCTATTTTTTGCGTTTGCAGTGGAACGCAGCGCTGGCAAAGTTTTGCCACACGGTCGATCGCACTGCGGGCGTGGAAGCGGTGCCATTGAATACAATACACAGCCACGCCCCCTCCCACCCCAAAACGCGGAGGGGAAGTTTCACAGCGATCGCCGTGCGTTCCAGCAGCTACAGCTCTGGAACGCACACGCTTTCGGTGTGAACAAGGACTAAATGAGAAGTATTGGGAGAGTAAAATGTACTCCTTCCAATAGCTGGACCTGGCGCACAACACTGCAGCTGTCACATGCTGGCTCTAATTCAAGAACTGAGCGATCACAAACCGCTGATCACTCAGCTTATGGCTTCTCCCAGCGAAAAGTGGTGACTCTCAGTCATTGCTCCCTGCAGGGATTCCTCCCTCCCCTCTCTGTTCACCCAGGGCTCATTGGAGGGACAGACAGGGAGGGGGGCAGGCACTGGCTCTAGAGCTGTCAGTCAATTAAGCTTTCCCGCCTTCAGCGCAGCTCTGCACAGTCATGCATATAGCGGAGTATATGCCCTCTAAATGCTGACTGTGGGTCACTGTAAATGTAGATTGATTTATGAAACATGTATATTTACATATATAGATTAGTAAAATGTCCCTTTGTCACCCAAAAGAGAGCTAAAGCCAAAAAAGAAAATGTTTTTTTGCTATAGTTCTTTTATTTTGACCTTTCTCTACACTTTTGTTCAGAAACCTTCAGACACTCCTGGAAGTGTTGTAAGAAAAACCTATCTGCAGCACCGTTTACTATAATTAGGGTGAATGCATTTCTATACTTACAGGGCCATCAGTACGTAATCACCATGGACATTTAAGCGATATGTTCAAACTTAAATGTGGGAGCTGATGACAGGGTCGTGTTGTAGTGCAACGCTAGTCAAAACTTTTCGTTTTATTTTGGACAGTGAGAAAGGAATAGAACCCCCGTCAGGTTTTCGCTACAATATGGGGCTCTTATAATAACTTACTGTAGCAACGTTGTTACCAGACAGGGAGTGAGTGAACATCCGCAACAGGGCACAGACAGCACCAAAAAAAAAAAAAAAAGACAGATGGGGGTTTTAGACATCCCTCGCTCTTATCTATATTAAAATGTTCCCTCATCTCCGGTCACAGGGACAGTAAGGCTCAACAAACACGTTACAATCTGTCCATACAATCAACTTTAGATTTAGCAGACTATGCAATATTATGGGCAACCTAATTTATCCGGACAGGCCCTTGCACTACATAGTTACTGGTAGACACACACACACACATTACAATCTGATTGTACAACCTCCATTAGATCTACCAACAGCTACGTAGTGCAAGGGCCTGCCTGATTGAACACAGATTAGATAGTTTACGTCGGTCCTATTACAAAGTTACTGCAAATCTAAAGTAAATTGTGTGCAAAGATTTTACAAATGGTGAGCTTTAGCGCTGCCATACAGGTTACAATTTGACCGACCAAACACCCAACTTTTGACATACCAAATCTATCTAAGAACTACCTAAACTATCTGCTCAGGCAGGACCTTGCACTACATAGTTGTTGGTAGATCTAAAAGGTGGTTGTATTGTGTGTGTGGTGAGATTTACAGTTTAAAAAGGTAACTTTTTTTTTTTTTAAATAAAACCTCATCACATTATACCTCAATCCACTAGGTAACATACATGAGAGATTATTCCCACTAACACAGACATGTCCCTGGGAATCTAATTGTAACGTCGCTGGATTGTGAACGGAAGAGGCTGCCATTAGACTTCAATCCGGGTAGGCCGGAACTGAGCACATCGGGCGCTGTACATAGAGGGCACAGCCATTCTTCTGGTCACATGTGATAAGTCTACAGGCACATTGTAGAAAACCTGCACTGCCAGGACACGGTCATCAGGCCGGTTACTATTACCGCTATTGAGGCCAGCACACAGCAGGCCCGCAGACACGTGGGTGCCCGGGGATGTACGGATGCCGGGGAGGCACATGGCAGGCGGGACACGTGCGCTCCCCTCTCACCCACCACCCCCACAGCACGGAGAGCGGGATACTTATGCTGAGAAAAGAGCTCCAGCCGGTTCCCTGTGTATCCAGCGCCGCCCAGTATGACCATCTTGCCGCTCACACCATACCCAGCCACCTTCCCCTCTGACTCCCGCTGACAGCCGGGCACTTACTGTTGGCGATGTCGCCCCCCATCTTGTATTTGGTGACCACCAGGTCCTCGGCGATGGTCTGCTCCTGCTGTTCATCGTCACCCGACATCTTGACGCTCGGCGGTCTCCCCTCGGCACGGGAACTAGTAGCTGGAGCGCGCGGCGGACACACACAGCGCGAGTAGAACTCAGGAGGCGGGAGCACACCGCACGCGTCGGGTTGAGGGTCAAACGGGTTAGCCGCACAGCACGCCGGTCGTTGTAGTTCCCAGGGATGACGTGACGCCGATACACTTTGACAGCCGACGATCTGAGCTACCCACATTTGCGCGCATGCGTCTTCCGCGAAGCATGCTGGGAACTGTAGTCAGGCCGTGCAAGCCTGACAGGGCTCTATAATGTGTCGGGGCGGAGTGATATGCATTGCTGGCCCTGTAACTAGCTTGCACAAAACGTGTGCTGACATAGGTAATGGTGGACGTTGCTGACAGGTGCTTTTTTACAATGTGAGCTGACTGATATGCTAATCCAGTGGGTTCAAAAGCACCCTGAATCAGTGAGGAGAAACATGGAGGTAACAGGAGCACAAGTCTTTTCTATTTAACAGTTTTATTATAAAAATATGGCTTTCTCCACGAACCATTTCCTTTCACAAGGTCAAAACCTGCCTTCCTGACTTTATAATTTACAAAAGGTTAAACAGTATCTTTATTGGCACTAATAAAATCTTGTCTGCAAGTTACTTAATGGACGTCACTTCGCTCACCACACTGTAACCATTATCTATGGTTGGTAACTCTCTGGTCTACTAAATGGACCTCCACTCCCCTCCCCCCTCATTTATTCCCTTCCCTCTTATCATCACCCCTCCACCATTTTTCCCTATTGTGTGACCACCCTTTCCCTTACCTTTTCCTTGGTTCTTGAACCTCCTTTCTGCACAAACCATTTCCTTTTGATGAGGTAAAAAAATGGAATGGCTTTATGATTGACACTCGGGAAATCTTCCTCAAGATGTCGTGTCCATGTGTTACCTAGGAACTCACCTTAATGGATGTCACTTTGCTCACCACACTGTAGCCATCACCTCTGGTAGGTAAACCTCTGGTCCTCGACGTGGACCACCGCCCTCTCTCCCTCTTTCTCCCCCTCCACCATTTTTTTTCACCAGTGTGTGACCACCCTTTCCCTTACCTCTTCCTCAGTTCTTGAACTTCCTCTATCCACAAACCATTCCCTTTCATGAGGTTAAAAACTAACTTAACGGATTTGCGATTAAAAATAAGTTATCCAGTATCATTAATGACACTCGGGAAAACTTCCTCAAGCTCTGGTGTTGGTGAGTTACTTAGGAATCGCCTCAATGGACCTCGCTTCACCGGCCACAGCGTAGCTATAATCTCTGGTAGGTAAACCTCTGCTCTGTTATGTGGGCCACTGCTCCCCCTCCCCCTTTCCTCCCTGTTCTTTATCCCCTTTCTCCCCCAGTTTCTGACCACCCTTACCTCTTCCTCGGCTTATGATTTCTTCTGCACAAACAATACTCATGAAAACGTCCGCAAGGTCTGGGTTTGTGGGTTTAAAGTCTGGTCTCTGCAGGTTCAAGTTCTAGTCTCTGCGGGTTCAAGTTCTAGTCTCTGCGGATTCAAGTTCTAGTCTCTGCAGATTCAAGTTCTAGTCTCTGCCGGTTCAAGGGCTAGTCTCTGCCGGTTCAAGGGCTAGTCTCTGCCGGTTCAAGGGCTAGTCTCTGCCGGTTCAAGGGCTAGTCTCTGCCGGTTCAAGTGCTAGCCTCGGCCGGTTTAACGGATAGTCTCTGCAGGTTCAAGGGCTAGTCTCTGCCGGTTCAAGGGTTAGTCTCTGCCGGTTCAAGGGCTAGTCTCTGTGGGTTCAAGATCTAGTCTCTGTGGGTTCAAGATCTGGTCTCCATGGTTTTCTTACAAACTTCAATGAACCACGGCCTTCCCTCTCCACTGTTTTTTTATCCACTTTCTCCCCCTCCCTCCTGTCACCCTCCTCCTTTTTTTCCCCAATGTATGACCACCCTTTCCCCTACCTCTACCTCACTTCTCAATCTTACCGTTTCTATCTTTTACTCCAGGTTACACTAGTTAACCTCCCATGCTTCATTCTTGGCTCTGGAGTGGAGGGTCCTTTATACTTATCTGTATTTCCCATTTTAGCAGGCAATAAATCCATCATGTCCAAGAGCCCTCAAAATACACAGCCTTACCCATGGATTAATGCCATTCATTTGTAGCTCAAAGTTCATCTGTGGTTCCTAATTGTTGTGACTGTTGTACCTGGGCACTGTAACTTTTATTTGTTGATGGAACCTTGTGCATGTTGTGCATGTTCATGTATCTATACCCTTGGACGATGCCATGCTATCTCTCTTGATTTTATTTACTTAAAAAATCAATAAAATCCTTGAAATGGAAAAGGACCGCTTTCTCCTTGATTAGGCTGAATAACCTATGTGTCTTGGCGATATAGAAGAAATGAATGTTCTGGCTCTATGAGTGACACCTTCCCTGCCTATGGGTAATTTGCTGTTGCTATGGGGACTGTTTATCAAATAATTCAATAGGCAGTTCACCCACTAAATAAGTAATGGTTGTTTGCACAAGTGAGATTCAGCAAGACTCACTAATTGGCTTCTTTATGCAATTTCTATGTATTATGTGGCAGTTGATAGGCAAATCTTTGACGGTGAAATGCTGCTGAAGCGAATGTCATTTGAATGTCTAAAGCAGGGGTGTTAAATCCAAACTTACTAACGGTCACGTCGATGTTGAATAAAATCAGGCTGGACATAAAGAAGAAAAAAAAATGAACCCTCTTGCTTGCCGTGGCACAAAGCTCGGGCTCACTAATCATTATATGACAATCTTGGTGTCCTGTGTGTGAAGGAACTACAACTGCCAGCAGTCCCTGTGCTCAAACATAACATTAGCACTGACAGCAATTAGTTTCCCTAAAGTGCATTGGAACAATATACATATAGCTAGAAAAATGAAGAAAAGAGGGGCACCGTACCCATTAAATTCCACAAACCACATAGATATCAAGATGAACCATAGATCCCCTTTAAGAAACATAAAAATCCTATAAAAAAGGGACAAGAAAGAAAAGGGCTGTGCAACATATCAGATAGAAAAAAAAAAGCTAGATATTGATATAATGTAGAATTTTGTAGATGGATGACAATGCCAGCGGACAATGTTATCCATCAGAGAATTGTAGCAAATGTGAGTACATCCCAATCCTCAAAGGTAGTCTATCATGGGGGAGCTCCAAAAGTTTCCTTATGCTCTTGTATAATGCTTATATGTATATATATATATATATATATCTCAAAATATCACCCTAACCAGGCTTCAACTCCTCTCATGCTCGCCTCCAGGACTTCTCTAGAGTCTCTCCCATCCTCTGGAACTCTTTCCCCCAACCTGTCCATCTATCTCCCACCCTGACTGCCTTTAGGCGATCTCATCTCTTCAGGGAAGCCTATCCCACCTCAACCTAACCACTGAACCCTCATATTTTCAAACAATTCATCCCCACACAGCTACCTCCTTATGTATCACTGGCCCCTCCCTTTTAGATTGGAAGCTCTCACAGGCAGGGCCGTTCTTACCATCTTGTCTTGAATTGTATCGTGATTGTAATGTCTTCCTTATATTCTAATGCGCTGCACAAACTGTTGGCACTATATAATGTATCAACAAAGCTAAGATGACTGCATGGGACATATAGACATCGCATCTGTACCGCGCTGGATTGAATGTAGATCAGTACATCCTGGGGGACGGGATCCACCACGTCCCCTGTTGTACCTCTGTGTACAACCGTCAATCGTATATAATTGGTTATACAAACATCCTGCACGTTGTTCAATATGCCAATATTCAATGTGAGCGAAACAAATATGAATGGAAAGGTCTCACCTTATTCATATGCAGCTCCCAAAGTTCCATGGGTCAAAAGGCTTCCACATGAAACCAGTGTGTAGGAGAAAATAGTATCCAGACTCACATAGATGTCATCTAAAAAAGTGTATAGACAATCCAACTGGCATTTCAAACAAACATTGTACAGCCCAATAGCCACTATGTTCCTGACATGTTTCATTCCTATCTGAGCTTTCTGCACATCCCTAGATCTTGTTCAAACACAGATAATGCTCAGCCTAACACTCTGTCTCATGAGAGTATACTAATGTGTTACTGTTTATTTTTTACTCTCAGGAAAAATTAGAGAGTTAAAAAAAAAAGTGGGGAGACTGGAGGGCCAATATAGAATAGTTTAGTATGTTGTCAGCATCAGCAAATTAGTGATAAAAATAGATTGGTTTACTTATATCTGTGTAGGTTGTGGCAAACCTTTAAAATGGTACACAACCTGACCTCAAGCTTGTGAAAAATATCTGTCTCCATGGAGACCTTTGTCCTCGTCAGTACATGAGGAGAACGAGACCTTCGTCCTCCTGAATAGACCTCGTATTATTAATGTAATCATGAGGGAAGAGTGTTAAAAAAAAAAACTGAAGGCATACTGTATGGTGCAGAAGTCCCTGACATACTGTAGGTTACCACGTGGAAGAAATATGTGGAGCGCTTGTGTCCCCAATAACAGTTATTTATTTAAAGTTACTTATTAAAACACTATAATAAACAACATACTATATCCATCTAAAACTTCTATCTAAGAGCACACAGTGGTGCCTATGTTGTTCATAGAGATCCATGTAAAAACAGTTACTCCCTTTGCACTGCCAGAAAAGGGGCCAACCGCTGGCTACTATGTGTCCCTTGAGGTGCTTGCTCACCAGGGGCTGGTGGAATTCTCCCTTGTTGAGGCACCAAAAAGATACCTGACTTGTATTGTATTGACAGTATTTCCAGGCTTCCTTGGTGATCTGAACGGGTTGCTGGACATCTCCTGGTCCATGTCAGCCTCACAGCCCCTGTCTCCTCACCTCCATTCCCCATAGCACCTATCAACCCCAGTGTTATTGACCCAAGCCCTTACTGGGGCTTTTTTTTCCTGGGTCAATAAGGGTGAACTCTTCTCTAGCAGCCCCTGGTGGGTAAGCACCTCTACACTCAGTAGCCAACAATTGGCTCTTTGTCTGTAGGTCCAATGCAAGTAACTGTTAGTGGCCACATGGTCACAGCATACATTGAACCTCCAGAATGTCCAGCATCAGCACCACTAAGCATCCTTACTTAGCAGTTTTGAATGGTTATAGCATCTTGTGTTTCACCTA